ATTTGATGAACGACATCTTTTATTGGAAAGATGAGCTTGATGAGCTTTCATCATCGCTACTGCCTGAAGCACCAACGTCAATAATGAATGGCTCGACTTGTTCCTCTAAAATATTGTCCAGTTCCCACATTCTCTTTTCAACTTTGTCTTTCACGTGCTTAATACAGTTTTCCCATTTTTGCGCTGTTATTAATTCTAGTGCTTCTTTGAAAAGTCCTTTGAGGTCACAAAATTTAAAAGTTGTATTGTGCTTAGCTATATAATTTTTAACCTCTGCCCATATGAGCTCAATGGGATTGAGCTCGCAATGGTATGGAGGTAAACGGAGCACAGTTTTATTTTGACTTGCTGCCATTTCGTCAATGGCATATTTTTGATATCTTGCCTTGTGATCCTTGACAATTCTTAATAATTGTACTTTCAGCATTGCTTCTTCAAAGTTGATATTTTTCGAGCGGAGCCAATTTTGAACATCAACTTTCCTTGAAGCCGTTGTTGGGACCTTCTCCATTCTTCGAGAATGATAAGGCGCATTATCCAACACAATTACTGCGTTTTCCTCTAAGTTCGGTAAAATTTTTGAAAACCACTGTTCAAACGATTCGCCATTCATTTCCTCGTGGTAATCTCCAGTTTTCTTAGACTCAAAGCACCACAGACCGTCAACAACAAATCCATCCTCACTGCCAATATGGCAGATAATGAGCCTTTTCCCTTTACCTGTAAATCGAAGTACTAACTTGTGTAGATTTATTCCAATAAGCGAACCTTTTTCAAATGTTTTCATCACATTCAGCGAAAAAACATTGAGACATGAGTATCAGATTGCTATAATTGGGATTATTTAGTCATATTGAAAGAAAGAATATTGAACGTCGTATGATTACTCAGCGCTTCACAATTTAATTTAAAGTTATAAACCTTTAAAAAATGAATGATCAGGAACCTGAAATACGCGCAATATTAATATTAACATTATAACTTTATAAAGCTTAAAGTATGAATTAAAATGATTAGAAATATTAGGAACGGTACACAATATAAAACTTAGTAACTTTTTTAAGTTTATAATATTCGACATATTTTAAGATTATATTAAAAAATTAGTGAAATATCGAAAACACATAAAAACATGGCTTAAAAAAGTTCTAACAAATGAAAATGACAATAAAACATCCACGCATTTTATCGAAAGTTATAAAAGTTTTGTTACTTGTAATATGTTTTATCTGCCCCCTGGAATTAATGTTTAGAACCTTGTTCCCAAGGTTTGAAAAACGTCCGATTGTTGTCTATTACTCGTATTTACCTGCTGGATTTTTTAATCCGGTGGACAGTCCATCTAGAAAGGCCCTCCTGGATGAAGTTACAGAATCATCAACCCATACTTTACTTGTAGTGTATCCTGCGTTTACCCACGTTTCATCAAGGTAATAAATCTCCCTGTTTTGATTTCTATATTTCCCAATTTTTGTTAAATAATCCCTCCTCCATAGCACAATTTCTTCTCTATCCAGTAGTAAACTATTACGACCCCGTTTCTTCCATTTGAAATTTAAATAATAATAATAATAATAATAATAATAATAATAATCGTCTTTATTGACCAAAAACATGGTACATTACATGGGGCGAGATTTAGCACCTGCTATTCCACCATCTAACCCCGTACAAAAGTGAAAAAAAAAAAAAAAAACAAGTTATACAAAAACAAACAAAAAAAAAAAATGTGAAACTACAAACATTAAGTCACAGTATAATAGGACTATTTGTGCCAATTTAGCTATAAAAAGAAGAAGAGATAATAGGTTATGAAGAAACGGAAAAATAATTAATGAAAAATACAAAAAGTATGAAAATGAAAGAACTTCTTAAGCTAGCGGTTGTTTTGCAATTCTTGTAAATATCTTTTTAACTGAGTTTTAAAACTCCGGGAGGACTGGATAGTCTTCAGATCCTGGCTTAAGCTATTGTAATATAAAATTGCATTGTATGTGAAAGTTCGTCTAAAAAGTGATGTGCGGTGTATTGGCATAGTTAAGGTGTCACGGTTACGAACCTGAAGATTATGCACAGACGCCCTTGGAACAAGTTTACAGCTGAGGTATTGAGGGGATGATGTTAGTATGATCCTGTGAGTAAAGCTGATAATGGAGTATTTGAAAAGGTTTTGAACGCTTAGCCATGCAAGATTACGATACAAGTGTGATACATGATCGAACTTTTTTAGGCCCTCGATAAACCGTACACAGGTATTCTGCATTATCTGCAAACGTTTTGCGTTAATAGACGTCAAACATGGGTAATATATGGATAAGCCATATAACATTTTAGAAATAACTAAACTGTGACACAATTTAATTTTGATGTTTCTATGCAGAATATGTTTGTTTGCAAATAGAAGCCTGAGGGATAGATAACATTTTTTCAAGACATTATTCAGATGGGAGTTAAAACGTAAGTCCGAGTCAAAGTGAATGCCCAAATTTTTTACTATTTCAGAAAAAATAATTTCCTCCCCATTAACTTTGATGTGAATTAATGGTTTAAGGTTTTCACATAATCTTTTATTGCCAAATAATATAGCAGAACATTTTGAGGGATTTAGTCTCAAGTTGTGAGAGCTGCAGTACCTATTAACACTATCCAGATCCGCATTTACTAGCATCATGGACTCCTGGACATTGTCGGCATTAAAATCACACTTCATCTGCGTATCATCAGCAAAAAATTGAGCATGTGTATTCTTGAAGTTATCATGTAAGTCTGCAGTGTAAAGTAAAAACATCAATGGTCCCAGTACTGAGCCTTGTGGAACACCTGACTGAATGTACCTTGGTGTCGAAATTTGATTATTGATATTTACTTTTTGCCTACGTTCCCTTAAATATGACCTAATAAAGTTGCAGGCAACTTCATCGAAGCCATAGTAGTGGCACTTGGCAACAAGCAGTCGATGGTTAAGCGTATCGAAGGCCTTGGAAAAGTCTAATAGTACCAGCAAGCTCATGTTTTTACTGTCGATGGAAGATATGATGCTATCAATGAGATAAGACAAGGCTGTAGTTGTACTGCGGTTTTTCTGAAAGCCTGATTGATGGGTGGGGATTATATTATGTGCATTGAGATGATCGAGAATCTGTGTATAAGTTACTCGTTCTAAAATTTTAGACATTATTGGCAATATGCTTATTGGTCTGAGGTCAGCGATGGATATCGGATTAGACAATTTTGGCAGAGGAGTCACCAGAGCTGTCTTCCAAAGGTCGGGAAAGTATCCAGTTTCCAAGCAAATATTAATAATATGTAGCAGATGAATGCCAATTACTGGAAAGCATAACTTTAACATTTGTAACGTGATACCATCCGTTCCAGAAGCATTGGATTTTATACTGCAGATAACAGTTTTAATCACATCTAAATCAACTAGCTTAAAAGAAAATGAATTTCTTTGCAAAAAGTTATTTGTTCTGTAGTAAAGTATTTTTTCAAAGCACGCTTCATCACTGTTTTGAAAAACTGAGGTAAAGTATTCATTGACTTTGTAAGGGTCTGTGAGTGTTGATGGGATTTCAGAAGATTTAATTGCTTGAACGCGCATATTTCTTAAAGATTTGTATAATAAAGAGGAATTTCTCTGATTTTGTAAATGATCCAAAAAGGCAGACTTTTCATTCCGTAACGACTGTAATGCATAATTTCTCAAAGATTTGTAATTATTCCAATTTTGAACAGACGGATTGCTTTTAAATTTAGACAGCGCTTTATCTCTTTCCTTGAAAATTAACTTCAAATTGGCGGTCAACCATGGTGCTTTCGGTCTAGTGACACGCACTGTCCGAATTGGGCAATGTAAATCAAAGATGGCATTGATGTTGTCAGTCAAAAATTTCAATTTGGCTTCAACGTCACTAAAGTATAAGACCTGCTCCCAGTTCATTTGATGTAAGTCTCGGTTGAAGTTATCTAAGTCGAAGTGTTTATAGTCTCTGAAAGTCACATACTTATGTACTTTATTTAAACTACAAAGTAGGTCACAGAAAACCATTTGATGGTCACTAATGATATCAGCGTTGATGGTACCCTTGTTACCGCAAACCTCAACATCAGACAGAAATATGGGATCCAAGAGAGTGCTACTTGTCTCAGTAATACGAGTGGGATCTTCGATAATTTGTGTAAAGCCATATGATTGAAAACATTCACTGATTTTATTTTTGATCAATAAGTTAACGTTTAGATCACCTAACATGAATAAATTGTCGTATGTAGTTACTAGGCCAGGTAGCAAATTATCGAGACATTCGATAGCATTCAAAACATTTGCACTCGGAGGTCTATACATTACACCCAGGCAGTAACTACAGTGACCAATTTTAAATTTAATGAACATATGCTCCAAGCAAGCATCTGTGTAAGAAGTAAGTACCTCGAACTTGATGTTGCTTCTAATATAAATACCGACACCACCACCACGGGATGGCCTATCATTTCTACAAAAGCTGAAGCCAGGGATATTAACAGTTTCAGAGCTAGTACATTCGGACAACCAAGTTTCCGATACAGCAACTATATCTAATTTTTTTTCAAAAACTAACTCTACAAAATCGGCAAAATTGGAAAGTAACGACCTTACATTTATGTGAGCTACTCTAATATATTTTTTATGTTCCATAATTGATTTTAGATTTAAGATTATTTATGTAATGTTGTAACACCAAGCAGGAACCTTCGTCATTCGACGAATGGCAAACATCATATTTAGTTTTATATTTTTCGTTACTTTTAACACAATTAATGCACTTAAGGACTTCGGACGAGCATTCTTTATACCGATGTTCACAGCTGCATGAAGAACACACAATGGACGACTTACAGTCTTTTTCAAGATGACCTATTGCACTGCACTTGAAACATCGCACCACTCTAACATGGTCAGCAACGAAGCATTTGCTGAATCCGACATATACATATTGACGTGACATAAAGAGACTTCTTACCTCAGGTGACACCTCAAGTACCAAATGTGTAGCGTTAGGGTAGTTTAATTTCGTTACAAATTTAATTTCACGATTTTGTAGATCTTGAAGGTCATTAATAGATGAAATATTGTCAATAATGTCAGCGACACTGGAGTTTTCAGGAATCTGAATATTTTTAACCATAATTCGGGGATTATACAGCTTAGTATTACTAACTTCATATTTCCTTCCTAATTTGCTAGAAACATGTTCCTTTAGTTTTCCCAACGATTTGTCATCATCGCAGCAAATAACTACACCATTGCGAATTTTCTTGATACCACTTAAACACAGTTGAAGATCCTTGGGGTTAATATTATTTTTAATATCATTCAACACGTCAGTATTAGATATCGAGTTATTGTTCGATTTAACAATAATCCCAGCTGATGGTAGTATGTGTTGATTTTGACTTTTTTTGGCTGTGCTACAAGAAACAGTACCTGTGTTTGCCTGGTTAAGAAATGGTCCCCTTGTTTTTGCAGCGTAGGATGATGATTCACTGCTTGTAAATGATAATTTTTCCTTGAGGAGCTCATTGTTGTATTTTAATTCACTGTTAAGGTTCACTAGTAACTCTTTCTCACGATTGAGGCATTCTACTTCATGACGAAGCACTATAACGTCAGTCGCTGGAGTATTAGGTGTCGACTTGCACTTTGTGGTACAACCTTTGCACCTCCAATTTTTCCTTTCGGTGAAGAATAACTTAGCGATATTCTCAAAACATTTTGTATGAAGAGATATACTGCAATTTTCTGCGTCGCACGTAATACCACCCGATTTACGTATTTCATCGCCACAAATTTCACAGATTTTGTCGCCCCGGCTCAAAGCGACATCTGTACCGGCCGGCATCTCTTCAGTAACGCATGGAAAGTTGATCGTTTGAAATTTGGCAACGTTGTATCTCCATTTACCTCCTGCAGTACTTTATCTATAGTAGGTATTTCATTCCTAAAGAAGAATTCATGCACTTTCCTCCTAATCGCATGCTTATCAGCTTCATCCAATGATTTAACAATACTTTTGGGATGTTTACTGGTCATTGGCTCAGAAAAGGTGTGATTTTTTTTTGTATTGTCTTAACACATTAAACACTGATACGCGACACACCCCAACTTTGTGAGAAACCTTCACAACAATTTCTTTGATGGTTGATGCCTCGTTCTCCTCGCGCTCGATCTTATATATATTCAAAATGACCTCTTTCATTTCTGCACTTAGGTGTCTTTTTTTAGAGCGTTTCCTAGGTGGACTACAGGAGTTTACAACTTCATGGGCAGTATCTGTACTACTGGGCATTTTGCGCAAGCAGTTGATAACAATAACAATCAATAACAAGGTATAACAATAACAACGACAAACTCAACAACTTAATAAGATAAACGAAAACGTCCAAAGAAATATCAAATTGCAATGATGCACACGACATACGTAACACGTCTGAACCTGAATGTGACTTTGCCTTGATACGACTGCTCTGCTGCTCGGCATAGGCATTTAATTGCGAATTGACCAATGAGGGCTCCTGTTTTACGTCGAGACGGCGGCGTTAGCGTGAAAATCACCCGAACCTTTTGTTTACATCCGGTCTATCTCTTATCTGAATATACTGTAGTGGACATAATACTAGCATACATTCAGGCAGCAGCGGTGGCCGCAGTAATCCCGTACCAGGAGATATTTTTCTCTTGGCTGTGGATGTTGTGATTGTCCGTAGGTGGTAGACGGTCTCTGACTGTCGAACGCGGAGGTACCACCCGGCGGATCTCGAATGTGTGCATGTGGTATGCACACGTGTTCCCTCGCCAGAGTCCGTGTGGCGTTCCCCCTTTCCCCTGTATCCCCCATAGCCGTGGGGCTACCCAATACGTGTTTAGGCCTTCGTGGTAGTTAGAGTATGAAAAAATAATACGGAGAGTGCCAACAAAATGCAGCCGCAGCATGCAGGTTGTATGTGAAAAGGTTTCCTTTAAGAAATCATCTGGCCCCGCAGATGTTTTCAAATTTAGTGATTAGACTGATTTAGCGGGTTTTGGAACGTGTTTTTGGGACCAAAACATTGTTTAGACATTTATCTCAGTTTGGTTGTAAAACGGTTTTAGGCGACTCACTTTTCCACCTAGGTACGTAACGTACTATTTCTTTGAATTGACGCAGAGCCTGAATACAGAAGAACGCGGCTCGCACTCTTGGTAGTTCATTAAATTAGCATTTTTTACTATCAGAGCATCAGACAGAAATAATAATTACAATAATCATTATTTCTATAAACTTGAACAGTTGAAGTGGTACGTTAACTGTAAGCATATACAGATGAGTCCACGTAACTTTAACTATCATGTAATCTAGCATAAGCACTCAATTAGACATTTCAATTTCCATAAATTATCATAATTATGTGATCGCTCTAATAGCATTTAATAGATATGTACCGGATGTAGCGACTGCACCTGTTGTTTGCGTTAGGTCATTAGCTGCGATTTGCATGCACCGGTTCTATAGAGCTTCGTACATTTTAATTATGGGGAGTTGAACGATGAAAGATTATTTCGTCACATCAGGGATTAAAATTAGATCAAGATTCGCAGATTTTTCTCATGAGAATTTTATGCACTATTCGCTATGCTGAGGAGTATGGAAGCGGTGACTCGCTAGAGCAGCCGCGTAGGCAAAGGCCTAAATGCCAGGGCACTGCGGCAGATCTGGACGTACGAAATTAGATAAGCAAAGCCGTCGCGTCGTCAGACGTCAGTTCGATTCAATTTAATTCAATTCAATTCAATCCTTTATTTACTGCTAAAAAATCTTTTAGTTTTTCTAATTCTTCTATTAACATGATTCATAGCTTTTTACAAAATCGATCTGAGGGTAAACATTCCAATAATTTCGTCCCCGAAACGCCTCTTTTCCCACGGAGTACCACAAGGGTCTGCACTTGGACCGCTATTACTCATTTATATACAGGGTGTTTCAGTTTATTGTTGCATAATTTTAAGATTCGATAGAACTTTTAAAATTAATGCATAAAGTCTATAAAAACATAGGTCGAAAAATGCGTGGCTTCCGAAATACAGGGTGTTTAAATTTACCTTCTAAAATAGTTTTTTTTAAATATTTCGAACAATATTTGATGTATAACAGTGAAAATTGGTATACAAGGATTTTTTGGTACGACAAAACGAACCATGGGCATATTTTTACTGTAGCCGCTAGAGGGAGCTCTCTACTGTACCTGTAGCGTATTAAAATGACCGAAAAAAATTTCTTAGCGCAATTTTTTGCTTTTTGAATAAAAAAACTGATTCTTCGCACTTTTCAACATAAAAAAACTCTCCTGTGAGTTTTCGTTATAGTTAGCCGTTTTTGAGATATTTCGGTTTTTAAGGTTCGATGCATTTTTAATTATTTATGGGAAAATAATACTTTTTTACATTTTCGATTTGGGCATTACAAGTAATTAAGATGATCGTTTAGATTGTGTTTTTTTTAAACACAGCAATAATTCCATTTCCATTTCATCACATGCATTCCTGATTCTGCCTATTAGCATATCTCTTGTGGTTACGGGAGTCTAGTACACTTTTTCTTTTAGAAATCCCCGAACAAAGAAATCTAATGGATTTAGGTCAGGGGATCGTGGAGGCCAGGCGACTGGTCCTCCACGGCCGATCCATCTTTCTGGATAATTTTCGTCCAGCCAGTTTCTAACTATTCTCGAATAATGAGCTGGACACCCATCAAGCTGGAACCAGGCCAATCTTCTTAAATCTAACATAACATCATCCCACATATTTGCATGTTCAGCCTTTAAAAATTCCAAGAAGGTCGCAGCATTTAACCTTGCAGGCAAAAGGTAGGGCCCAAATAGTCGATTACTGTAGATACCAATCCACACGTTCACACTAAATTCATGCTGAAAATTTCTTTCCCGAACTGCATGCGGATTTTCATGCGACCAAATATGTGTAAAACGAAATATTTAAAAAAAACTATTTTAGAAAGTAAATTTAAACTCCCTGTATTTCGGAAGCCACGCATTTTCCGACCCATGTTTATATAGACTTTATGCATTAATTTTAAAAGTTCTATGGAATCTTAAAGTTATGCAACAATAAACTGAAATACCCTGTATATATATACAATTAAAATTTTTATTGGGAATTGGCAGCGTAGTCAACTCTTTTGACTGAAATCTCAATCTTTCGATAAACTATTTTGTCATCTTCAGGAGCTAAAACACAAATATGAGAATAGCACCAAATTTGTGTTTCAGCTATTGAAGATGACAACATAGTTTGTCGAAAGCTCGAGATTTCCATCAGAAGAGTCCACTAAGCTTTGAGCTTGCCAGTTCCCAATAAACAGTTTAATTGTGTATATATATATATATATGTATATATAGAAAAGGATCATGCGGGGAAGGGTATATAATAAATAGAAAAATAATGAGCAAAATCAGCAAAAAGAAGGAAAGTGGATTCGATCAGAAAATATAATGGGTAACCCAATCGGCAAGTATATATTAGTGCTTGTTGTCTTCATCAGGCCCAAAATGAATGCACATATGCATTTACAAAAGCATATACACATGCCCGTACATCCGGATTCGGATGTAACCTGAGGAAATGAAGATGTAGAGGGAAAAAAATAACACACGAAGTATAAAATGGCTGGAAGACCTCGAATTTTAAAGGCAACATCTAACCACAACCACGCGGCTGGTTATAGCCACTAGCTGTGGTACTTCAAGTCCGAAGGATCTACAGAGGGATATCTTTAGGCTCCTAGTTCCAGGACCAATCATAGAGTCGTACCAGCAAGGTGTTGCCTTAGAAATATAAAGTGTTCGCTATGTCACCCTGTACACATGGGTTCTCAGACATACCAGGCAGATTAAAATAGAGATTAAAATATAATTTTAATATGGCTTTCATTAAAGCCAGCCTCGCGTCTAGGCTATTAAATTAATGACTACTGAAGTTGAAGTCGTCCGTCCTATCTCAGTTTCAAGAAGGGGTTGTGTGTATATTATATTATATATTATATATTAAAGAGTCTACACTGTACGTTTCATTATTTTTTTCCTCTTATCTCTCTTCGAATATTCATTTTATATATGTGTGAATAGATGCCATTGTACCAGACTGGAATACATGCCATTACTTTCGTATACATTAGGATTTTGCAGCATGGTTCAAAAGCAAATTGTGAAAACTTTAGTATGGTGTCCATTGTGGAATTGAATTCTAAGTTTATTATGAAATTGATTATTTGCTTTTGAATCTTCGAGGGTTGTCTTTTAAGTTTTGCATATGGAAATAAAACCACACGGTAGGTAGTTTTAAATGACTTTATTGTTTTTGTGATGTAACATTTCATTGTAGGTCGAAGCTGTCGGTTATAGCTGGAAAGCAAACGGGGAAACGACAGTGCATAGATACCTAGTGAGGATTTGTTTGCTAATAACACTGTACAACAGCCAAAAAATATCCTAAATAAAATCAACAAAATATTACTATTTTTAATGTGCTAAAACCGGAATGAAACTTATTTTTTCAATATTAGTACAAGTTTTAGAGATACGGTAATTATATGTGTTCCTGCTGTGACAGTGTTAGTATACTGTAATTCACAAGAATGCACGTGCTACATTATATTGTTTTATATTAGCCATTTTTTCCTCAGTTGGCTGACAGCGTTCATGCAAGATGTCTCGAAAGTGTGCAAACAATCCAGATCAGTTTTGTTACGTGCGTGGTGATGTGACTTTTTCGTCTCGGAGACGGTCTATTACTCCACTAATAACAAAGGCATATCAGCTTTATTTCGGTTGTAAACTAGGTGATCAAGAC